AGCATTGGCTGTGGACAGACCTGTGGCTTTCGGGTGTCTTTCTGCCGTCTCCCACCAACTCCTGACATTGTTACCTTGTGTATTTTTTTACTTTTCTAATAGACTTTAGGGGTTTGCAATTAGCTGCTGTTCATAAAGCTAGTTTTTGAACGAGGCGATTATCCTCTAGTTCTGTTTTGGGTTTGCTGACTGGGTGTCCGTGATTTCCTTCTGCTTGCTTTGGGTTGGTTTTCTCCCTCTCCAGTTGCTTAAGGAGAAGTTTGGGTCACGGGCTCAGATCTTCTGGATGGTGCGCTTTGTTCCCGGGGTTGCGCCCTCGGCCTCTGCAGGTTCTGACACACCGTGCTCGGCTCGATTGCTTTGCAGCCTCACGGTCACCTTTGAGCGGGTGGTGTGGCCGCACTCTCGGGCGCTGGGTGTTGTCCTGCGGTCTTGCCGTTGTTGATATCTGCGTCAGTATGTGGAGCCGTGTAACGGCACGTGCGTATGGCCTGCGTGGGGACTGTGCATCCCCGCGTCTGTGTCCACCGCTGTGGTCACTCCCCACCCTCTTTCTTTGCTTTTCCTTCCTTTCTGCTCTTGCCACTGGTCCACTTTGGAATCGTGTGGCCTTGTGGGAAGGTTGTGGGGATTGGTCACGGAGTCCCACGCGCTCCTCGTCAGCTCCCTCCGCGTGGCCTGGCACCCGTGTCATTGGTCAGTCACCGTTGATCCGTCTCCAGACCATTGGATACTGCAGTGTCCAGACATCACCAGTGTCCAGTCTGATGTGCCACGCTGACCGTCCCCTGCTCCACACTGATGTTGGCTCCTCTGCTCTGTGCCAGTCTCTTAGTCCGTCCCTGTCACCGCCTCGGCAGCACTGACTGGACGTCCCTGGATGTCCTCGCCTGTGCTTGTCCCGTGTTTCCTGACTGCGATTGTAAGCGTGGGCAGAAGGCCTGGCTCATGGCATCGTGTTGGGCAGCGGGTGCCTCGGCCCCTCCTGGAGGGCGGGACCTGTGCGATTCGCTGGCCTCCCAGGTCCACTGACGGACTCGGGTGTTTTCCGTGCACCCCATTGTTCGTCCTGTGGTCTGTTGGGCCTCGTCCTTTGTCACCAGAGCAGGTCCTTCCGTCCTTTGTGGCAGCACAGGGCTCCCGCTCCTGAGGCCCCGCTGCAGGGGCAAACCCAGGTCCTCACGGCAGTCTGGGGCCGAGGGCTGTTGATCCATTGGCCTCTGCGCGGCGTGGCAGCGCCCGGCCTCGTGTGGCGCTGGTTTCTGGGGTTGGGCCTTGGGCGTGCAGCATTCAGTCGAGCCACCTGTCTGCCACCCGTGTCCTCAGCTGCCCGCTGTTCCCGCCTCCCCTTTGCTTCCCTCTTCCCCCCACCCCGGTGTCACGCCACCTGCTCTCTGCTGGGGGTTTGGGCACCTGTGTCCCTTGAGGCTCAGCTGTCCCTGAGGGTCATTTGAGTGTCTGTCTCTGTTTAATCTTGCTCTGGGAGCTCAGAGCGGCGTCACGGCCCACGTGGGGTAGATGCCGAGCTCCTCCTGTCGTTTCCAGGGGGATTTTCAAATCGCCTGGCTGGCTTGTCCTCAGAAGCCTGCGGGGGCTGGTCAGCAGTGCCCTGGCTCTGAAGGTCACCTTGCTCAGAAGGCTGCGTCTTTTGTCGCACCTGCGTAGCTCGTCCGTGGTGTGTGGCCCCCTGTGGCCAGGTCCCCGGTGCCGCTCAGTCTCCAGGTTTGCAGGCTTCTGTGAGCGGTGTTTCCCGATGTCTTCTGGTGCTGGTTCCTGGTCAGCTCCCCGCGAGGACACCGAGCCTCCCCGGCCGGCTGACTGCAGGAAGTGATGTGTGTTGCACGGCACCGAGACCTGTGGAGAAACGGCCCTGGCTCAGGCTGGTCCTTCGGTCACCCGGTCCCCTGATGTTTGGTGTGTACTCGAGAATGGGCTGACGAGGCGGGGACTGTGGACGCGGCGTCCCCTGCAGCCTGGTCACTTGTGCTTCATTTTTTTCGCAGCTGTTTTGTCTGGGCCACGTCAGGTTGTTAGGTTGTCGCTGCATGGTTGACATTTCCTCCTGGGGACGGCCTGCGCTCTGTAACTCGCTGTCTGCCACCAGGAGCCTTCTTTCCACCATCTCTGGTTTCTTAGTGGTGACACGTTGTTTCTTTTTTGTGTGTTCGTCTTTTTTTTTTTTTCTTACAGTGCCTGGGTTTGAACTCAGGGCTTCACCTCGAGCCATTTACCAGCCCTTTTTTGTGAAGGATTTTTTCAAGATAGGGTCTCACACTATTTGCCCAGGCTGGCTTTGAACCTTGACTTTCCTGCTGAGTAGCTGGGATTACAGGCGTGAGCCACCACACCCAGCTATACCTTCCTGTTTAAAGTATGTTTGACTGGCAGTGTGTGGTGGTCTCTGTCTTTTGATTAGGGTGGTGGATCATTTACGTTTTATGAGGTGAGTGACGTGTTTGTGGTCCACCTTACATCTCACTGTTTTCTTTCCCGCTTGTCCTGTGTCTTCTTGTTTTTTCCTGCTTTTCTGCCTTTTTTGTCAACTCTTTTGTTTTTTAGTTTCTCTTTGCTGTGGGTTGTATGGTACCAATAGTGACCCAGGGGAGCTTGTTACGCTTAACGCTCTGGTGATGTGAAGCTGGTGCCCTGAACGCCTGTCCGTGTGCCTGTGTTAATTTTGCCTATACAGCCGGCTTAGAAGTTTAGCTGACAACTCACATGTTGGTGGCGTGTTACAGCATGTGAGCCTGCACACATGCACGTGGCCACGTGACGGTCCCACCACCCGCTCTGCGGCTCTCCTTCCCCGCGTCCTTCCCCGCGTCTCCTGCACGGTGGGGAGCGGGTTTGCTGGAGGTGAACCTGCAGATTTGCAGGCCTGAAATCTCCTTGCTTTGCTTTGCTTTTGTGCTCTAGAGACTTCCACCAGGTACAAAAGTCAAGGTGTTTTTTAATCTCGCTCAGTGTTTCCGGGGTCTCCCAACGGGCGGGGAGAATTTCCTCTGCTCTTGGCCTCTCCTTTTCTCCATCCTGTCTGAGCGCTTTTGCCTTTTGTTGGTTTGTTTCTTCAAACAACCGCTCAAGCCACACCCCAGCCCTTTTCTGCTTATTTTTTAGATAGGGTCTTGCATTTTTGCCCAGGGTGGGTCTCAGACTGCCATCCTCCTTCCTGTACCTCTCAGTAGCTGGGGTCACAGGCATGACACTGTGCCTGCCTTGTTGTTTGAACTTTTTGCCCTGGCTGGCCTCGAACCACAATCCTCCCTCTTTTTTTATTTATTTATTTTTTTGGTGGTGTTGGGTTTTGAATTCAGGGCCTACACCTTGAGCTACTCCACCTGCCCTATTTTGTGTTGAGTTTTTTCAAGATAGTGTCTCATGAACTCTTTGGCTAGGCTGGCTTCAAACCTCAATCCTCCGGATCTCTGCTTCCTCAGTAGCTGGGATTGCAGGCGTGTCCAGCATGCTCCGTTCTGATGCTTTTTCTTCATCACTGGTTTCGAGCAGGTTCATTACTTCACACCCTGGGGGTGTCGTCTGTGTGTCATGGGTTGAGTCTTGTTGGGTTGGTCAGAACTGTGGCTTATACTTTTCACCAAGTTCAGAACTTTCTGGAAGTCCCTTCCTGCCTCCTGTCTGTCCTGTCCTCAAGACTCAACTTGTGTTTTCTGCCACGTGCAGTTGTCCACAGCTCGGGCTTCTCTTTCATCTTTCGGAAGCTTTGTCCTGCGTGCTTGTTCCGGGCTCTTGCTGTGCTGCCCCAAGGATGTGAACCTTCCCGGCAGTGCTGCCGTGTCCAGCCCCACCTGTGTGATTCCACCCGAGACGGGTAGCATGCTTCTCCTCGGTGCGAATGGACTTCTGTGCCTTCCGTCTATGCAAGTGCTGCTCCCTTGTCCCACAGATAAGGAACTGGTTTTTTTTCCTTGCTGCCAGTTTGACCCCATGTGGGTTGTGGTCAGTTATCATCCTCACCGGGGCCATGTCTCCCTGCTTCTTTTGGGCCTGGTCAACTTTGCTTGGTCGGTGGCAGCTGCAGATTTCAGTCTGGGTTCTGCACAATTCTGTATTCCTGGAAATGTTGTTCATCTGCTTTCTGAGATGCAGCTCAGCTTCTTAGAGGAGTTCTGTTGTTTCTGGTCTTGCCTTTTGATAGGCCCTGTGTCTAGGAGCCATTTTGAGTCTGGCGTAGCAGGCCCACTGTGAGCCGAGGCTGCAGCCTTCCCGGAGCTGCAGCCTGCCTGCCTGGCGTTGTGCTGCCCCACCACTGTGGGTCTTGACAAGCTTCTTCGCTTTGGAACCACATTGACATGTTTCCTGCTTTAGAAGCTAAACGTAGCTGGGCACCAGTGGCTTACGCCTTTAATCCCGGCTACTTGGGAGGCTGAGATTGGATCAAGATTCGAGAGCAGCCCAGGCCCATAGTTCACGAGACCCCCCATCTCCAAAATAACAGAGCAAAATGGACTGGAGGTGTGGCTCGAGAGGTAGAGCACCCGCTTTTCAAGCACAAAGCTCTAGTTCAAACCCCAGTCCCACCAAAAGAACTCTTAACCGTCGCAGTGCCGACAGAAATACAATGTGTCCTAGGACGAGCTAGAACCTGCCGGTTCCCGCCTCAGCTGCCACGAGCCCGCGTGAATCTCAGTCCCCTGGCTCTGGCCTCCTGCCTTTAGCTCCCCCACACGTCACGTTATAAACCTCTTCACGTCATTTCCTGTTTCTCAGCGTCCTCTCCAGCCTGTGGTGACACCCTCCAGAGCACACCGGGGGACCTGGGACCCTGGGTTCCCATGGGTCCTGCCAGTCTTGGTTTAAGAAACCCTAAGAAGGTTCTTCCAGCCAAGCTGTGGTCAGCCGAGACCCTGCCAGCACCAGCCCTTCCACCTGCAGTGTCGTTACTGTGTGCATGTGGTCGTGGACCCGAGGCCTCGTGGCCGAGTCCGCTGAGCGTCCCCTCTCAGCCCTGGGCACCTTGTCACGTGTCGCTCCGCTTGCAGGTTGAAGGTGGAGGAGCTGGAGCGGGAGCGGAGCCGCCTGGAGCAGGAGAACACGACGCTGGAGATGCAGCTGGAGAGGCGCGCCCTGCAGGTGGGTGCCGGGCCCTGGAGGGATGTGTGCCGGCCCAGCCGTCCACACTTGCAGGGTGACAGGCCGTGCGGCTCCCAGCCTCCTCTCCCGCGTCCTGCCCACCCTCTGAGTTTCCTGCTCTCCTGTGCCAGCCACAGGCTTGTCGGCTTGGGTGCCCAGTGTGCAGGAGCGGGCTCAGAGTGGGGAGCCCAGGGAGCTGTGCACCTCGCCACCCGCCTGCCTGGTGACCTCACGCTGCTGTCTGCATCCTGTTGCTCAGCCCTCTGTAGTTTTCATCCTCCCGACTTGCCCTGCTCCAGGGCAAGTCCCCCGGGTGCAAGAACGGCCTGTCCCCAGACAGCCATTGATTTCATCTTGGCACCTATTAGAGACAGTCAACCTCGTTCCTCTCACCGACCCTGGTGACGGGAGACCTGACAACTCTGATGAAGTGAGGTGCTCTGAGCTGTGCGTGGACGGCGTGCCTGGCCCTGGGACCTGTCATTCCGCACCGTTCTAATTAGGCCGCTGTCCTCAGCTGAGGACTGCTGCTGATGCACCTCTGGCCGCTGACTGCAGGTCCATGTCAGGGTGGAGTGCTGGGTGTCTGTCGCCAGAGCCCCTAGGGCAGAATCTGAGCTCCTGGCTTGCTGGCTCCTGAGCCTTCCTGCAGATTGGGGTACAGCGTATCCACCTGAACCGCTCATCCCCACTCTGCTTCTGGGCTTCTAGGCCTTTCCGCAGGCTGCCTGCAGTGGCCTTGGAGGACAGGGTGTGGGGGAGGGGGTGAGAGGGGCAAGTGAGTGCTGTGTGTGGTGACAGAAGCCACCAGTGGATGCTGGGACTGTGTCCTGTGCAGATGTAGTGCTGGGGGGGGCACCTGAGAGGTCCAGGGGCAGCACATCTGGAGCTGGTGGGACAGGCCACGTGCTCTCTGCCCCTGTGACCACAAGTGTGGTGGGACTCTGTGCAGGTGCGGGTCCCAGCACTGCTCAGATGGGGGCTGGGCTCCTGCCCAGGGGGACAAGGTGCTATCGGGTGGTGTCCACACCTGCTTTCTGTGCCCAGGTCAGTGCAGGGGAGTGGGACCCTGCACACAGATGGGTAGCAGTGGGGACAGTGCTAAGTGTACCTCTGAGGGATTCCCACAGCCTGGCCACCACGGAGGGGAGGGTTGGGTCTGCTGGCCGTACGGAGCAGATCCATGCTGTGATGTGATGTGACACCTGGGACCTCAGCCTAGGACGGCAAGGCTGACCACGCCGTCGCGCGCGTGAGGCGGGGGTGCTGTGCGCCATTCCAGCCGGGCAGTGAGAGGAGAGGTGTATCCCAGGACTGAGCTGACCTGCAGGTGACATCGCTAACCTCTGGTACAGGTCCGTTCTGTCTGACCCTGATGCCAGAGCTCCCCCCACCGCCCATCTTCCACCTGCCTAGTATGTGCAGGGGCATTTGTCCTCCTGTCCTCCTGTCCTTCTGTCCTGCCCCTCCTCCCCCTCCTGTTCTTCTGTCCTCCTGTCCTCCTGCCCCTCCTGTCCTCCTGTCCTGCCCCTCCTCCCTGTCCTGTTCTTCTGTCCTCCTGTCCTCCTGTCCCCCATCCCTTGCCTTCCTGCATCTCCCACCCTCCCACTTTGCTTCTCCCCTGCTCACTCCTTCCCTCTGGAGGCGCAGAGAGGCTCTGAGTTGTGCTTCAAGGAAGATTGATTGAAATCAGCTCCGTTCTGCTTAATTGGGAACATATGGTCGGAGAAGGAGCACGACTAGTTAGGAGCTTTTGTAATTAGTTCACAGCTGGTTGCTGAGGTGGCTGAACTCCAGTTACCACTCAGAGCTGGGTGTGTGGGTGCCCTGGCGTGCTCAGGGAGACGGGTCACTGCACTGGCCTGGGTGGACGCTGGTCACAGTGATGTCGACCTTGCTGGGTCTCCCGAGGGCCATTGGCTGTTTGTGCATGGATCGGGGTGACCTGTATGCATTGCATTCCTAGGGTGGGCATTATGTGGGAGGAGGCGCCAGGCCCTGCTGGTCAGGTGGACACAGCTCAGGGCCCATACACAGTGCCGTCAAAGCTGCAGGGAGAGCCCGTTAGAAATAGAGAAACTGAGGCACGCGAAGGCTGAGCTCAGCCATCCGTTTGTAGAGGCAGGTGGGTTGAACGTGTGACCCTGTGCTTAAATGAGGCCTGAGTGAGGGTGAGTCCACAGAACTGCAGACTCCACTCCCCAGCCATTGCAGCAGTGATGCAGGAGATGCCATCCCTGTGCCCAGGCCTGCCACACGCAGCCTCCCTCCCGCCCCTGCTTGCCCGCCTGGGAAGGACATGTGTAGGGCGCGGCAGCAGTGGCCCCGGTGTCCTTTGTCCTGCCTCTGACCCCGACAGACCTCTGGTGCCCCTCATAGCAGGGTACTGGGCTCGGGAGGCTTAGTCTCCAGTGCCTGGGGTCGGCTGTGGCCGTCAGGCTCCCCTGGGCGTGGACTCTTGGGCCCCCCACAGGTGTGTTCGTGGTGCCAGGTCCCAGAGGGCCGACATGTCCCAGGAGCCACAGCAGTGCAGTGACTCACTGTGGCCCACGGCCCGTGCTGCACCTTCACAATCAGGCCATGTCCCCACGTTGGTGGTCCTAATGGGCTAGGTCCAGGACTGTGGAATCCCCACAGAGAGGCCAGATGCTCATGACACCTGTCAGGTAGGGATCTGAGCTTGTCCATGGGATGGCCTGTCTGGGCTGGACACTGGCCGCCTAGCTGGGCAGGCCACACCCCATGTGGTGACAGGTAGTTTCCCCTGCGGGCCACACTGCAGACCTCACCCTGGCTCTTCTTGGCGCCCTCCAGGTCCTGGTCCCCGCAGTGCTAGTGGGGTTCCCTTCACATCAGCCCTACGAATCTCCCCAGCAGATGCCATTTGCCCACCACCCATATCCTGCCAGGAATGGTTCCCTGGCTGCTTTATGTCATCGCTGCCCACCCCGCTGTCCCTCAGCCCACCTTACTGTTTGGCTGCGTTTTAATGCACAGCCTCTTCCCAATATTTGGGCAGCGTTGCTGTCTGGGATCCTGAAGCCCATGCCCCTGGGCAGTCTCATCTCTGTGGTTGTTTGGTTGGGAAGATGGACTCTTCACTCTGCTCCTGTCCTCCTGAGCACTGTCCCCCTGCTTGGACACCTCCAGCCTGGTCTGGCCTGCTCCCCTCTGCCTGGTGGAGGCTGTGCCGGGTGTCGGCTGCTGGGCTGCTCACAGCCTGCCCGAAGCTCTGCTCAGGAAAGAGCCCCGACGAGCTGCCCGGTGACATTTAAATAAGTGTATCTTTTTTGGAAATGGAGTGGGAAGAAAATTGCTGGGTTCCCTGTGAGCAGAAAGCTCCCTGCGCCTGGCAGTGTCCCTGCTTCTGTCTGCGTCACAGGCAGCAGCATGGCCTCATCACAGTCACTGGGTTAGGGCCTCCAGTCTCACCTCCTCACTGTCCCCATCCCCGCCTCCCATCTGTGCCTGTGATGGCCTGTGTCCCTCTTCCCCACAGCAGCCCAGCAGCTGTCAGCACAGGTTGCCGCCCTCCTGTCACACCTTCCCTCCCAGTTCCAGGCTGGCCTGGAGTGGCACCTGCAGATCCGGGTACCTGGGCAAGGGACGGTGTCTCTCAGAGCCTTCACTCCCTCTGGTTCCACTGCTGATGCCTGGCTGCTAGCGAGGACAGGTGGCTTCTTGATTGCCCAGTGCACCCATTTCTGGAATATTCTCAAGGTGGCGTTCCCCAGACTAGGTGCTGGGATTCAAGGCCCTGCGACCACTCTGTGCAGGAGCCTGGGCTCCTCTCTGGCCGTGAGCTCCAACCTGTTCCAGCTCCTGGCTTCAGTGCAATTGCGGGCATTCCCCCTCCCGCCTCGCAGGGACCCTGCGAGGAAGAGAGATTGTCACTACCCTGTGCTGAAGGTCATAAAAGTCAATGACCCACCCCACGGAGAGGAAATGATGCAGTCAGTGTCCAGATAGCTGCTGGGCGGAGCCAAGTGTCACGGTCACCTGCAACAACGTCCCTGCCCTTGTCGGCCCTCCGGTCTGTTTATTCCCTGATACTCTGAGTGTCTGTCAGGAGCACAGAGCCACTGTCCCCACCTCTCCACCCCCTGTGGCAGAGCCAGAGTTGCAGGGAGCAAAACTAGGTGCCTTCCCACCACTGTCCTGAGTCCTTTGCTCCACCGTGGCCCACATCCACCCTGCCCCAGCCTGCCCGGCCCAGGTATGCACTGAGCCTCTGCTGACCTCTGCATGTGACCCCTGCCCTGCCCTGCTGAGCCTTCATGTGCACGGTGTCACTAGGGTCACGTGAAATGAGATGACATTTGAAGACGGCATCCCAAATGTGACAATGCATTTGTGACTTTGCCTCTGTGAGCTGTATCTCCTCACTGGCTCTCACGGCCAGTAGATCATCCTCCAGCTGTGTGTCCTCGCGGGTGCTATCTGCCCCTGAACTCTTGTCCTGGTGTTTGGTGTGTGGCCCCTTGGTGGCTCGGTCCCGACCTTCACATTGGGATCAAGGGCAGGTGCATGTGTCCCAGCTCCATGCTGCGCCAGGGCTCAGGCCGGCCTCGCCCTGCTGCCCTGCTGAATGCTGATGTGAGATGAGACGCTCGGGAAGGGAAGGAGGCCAGACCCGCTGAGGTGAGCACAGGCCGTCCATGTTTATTAATGCTGGGAACTAAGAAAAGCTGCTCGCCGGTGTGCATTTGTGTGGTGACATCCCGCAGCTGATTTCTTTTGATTTTTTTTGTTTTGTTTTTATGAGAAGCATGACGCACCCTGCATACTGAGCCCCCTTTTTGTCCCCGAGTGTCACCTCCTGGGGAGCTCAGTCCCTTGGGCACACAGCTTTTGGGCGCGCCAGCTAGAGCCCCGTGCGAAACCTCACTCGTGTCATTTGTGGGCGAGTTGAATGTCTTATGTGTCGCCTACCACCAGGGCCTGTGACAGGCCACATGGCGGGGCTGTGACTGCCCTGTCCCCCGTGGGAAAGTGAAGGC